CGATATGACACGGGATTTTGTAAAGGGACAGTTCAGCTTGTTGACTTCACTCAACCTTGTCATGTTATATCAAACATTGATGGTTTTGTAATTATAACAAGTTTAAAATTTAAGTTATACTTGCTAAAGTGTGTTATGTTTAAAATGGCAACACAATAATATTAATTAACTTCGGTTTAGATGTGTTTATTCCATTGAACAAATCACAGAGTTAACTTTTATGAGTGCAGATTTGAACAAATACGCACAAAAACATCAAAATTAGCACAGAAACAGTACTATATAACATTTTAGACACATTCTAGGCAGTTTATCAGCTAAAAAAAGTTAATTTTGGGGTAAGTTACTCTTTAAGTCAGTTCTTGAATATGATTAAAACCAGATAATAATAATATATAATTCCTGCTAACCTAAACTCCCTCAATTGATTTAGAAGCATGTAACTAACATGCTAAAGCTAAAACAACATTAAAGAGATTTTTGAGCTTTGTGATGACAGTAGATAAATACAGGGTGGAGGAAAATGTGTTTTTTGCACACATATTCAATACTAATATTACCATTAGTATTGTGAGTCCCTGTTAGAAAATGGTTTATGTTGTATACATTTCATGTACCTTTTCTACTTCCTGTCTGTTTTGGCAGCTGTGTATGGAGCATGATGTTCCTGGCTTCATCAAATTCAAAATGTTCGATGCTAAACGTAAGTAGGACTTTGTTATGTAACTTCCTGTTAGATTTTTTTTTTTTAGATGAAGTGTTTTCTGTTAGAGTTTCACCAGTTAGATTCTGAAACGGCTGAGTTTTCTGATTCCCTGTCTTTGATTTTATTTTTCTCTCAGCCTCCTCTAAGACCATCTCTGGCTTGTTGGAGTTTGACAGTAAGACGGAGGCTGTGGAGGCTCTCACTGTTCTCAACCACTACCAGATTAGGATACCCAGTAAGTCTGACCACTTATTAAACCTGCAGCACACTTTTGGTCCTAAAACCCTCATAATCAATAATATATGAAAGTCTGGATTCTTGAAATCCAAATCCAGTTAAAGGCTGCTAGCTGTTCATTGCTATAAAGTAGGGCTAGTTGAAAGGGATTAGTAGGGATTAGTTGAAATAATCGATGATGTCGATTATGTAAATTTGTCGACGCAGATTTTTTATTATCGATTCGCTGTATTGCATAACCACCACGTGAATGTTCATGCAATTGCATTTCGGTACCTAAATGCATCATTGCGACTGTATTGGCATAAGAGTGGTGAGTTTTCCATGCTTGTCCTGAATGCAGCATCGTGCAAGAGCGTAATGACGTCAGCAGCCGCTGCTTCAGTTCAGTCTAAGCTTGAAAACAAGCCTCGCAGCTCCTGGAGTAAAATTTACCGAACAGACCGCCTCTGAATTATCTGGTGGATTAATTATCTTGTGAACATGATGTTCCCTTGCTCAAAGTAAATAAAGTACCGCCACTTTCTTTATTTCATCCACCATTAAACAGAGACCGGTGTTAGGTCGAGCTGCGTTCCCCCATCAGACGGTTCCCCCATCAGACGGTTCCCCCAGCGTCTCAAACAACAGAGGAGCTTCTCGACACACGTCTGACCTAAAGAGCACAAGTAGCCAACAAGTGTTGGACGTGTTTTGGGTGTTCAAAACGTAGCTTAAATACCTTTTATTTATTTTAACTGCATCCTCTTTTGTTTATTTGATTTAAACTTATTTGCCTTCCATGGACCTCCATCACATAATGTTTCTAGTGGGGAAATGACATCAATAGAAACACGTGGAGCTGGATATTAATTTGTGTAATAAGACAAAACAGTCTTGTTGTTTTCAACAGTTTTCACCTTAAAGAAATAAGTTACACAACTGATGTTACAATACAAAGAGTTGGAYGTTGTCTTGATATTTGTTAAATTTTATATATTGAGAAATATGTTAAATAAAAAATAATAAATAAATGTTTATTATATGTTTATTATAGTTTTTCCAGAGTGACTTGAATTTTGCATGATTTAGTTCATTTGTTAGATTGTTAACATCTTGCACTATATTTCTTTTACTTGAATTGTATATGCTTTGGTTGAGATTTTATGTTGATGTTAAATCTTTTAAGCTTTTTTTTGTTAAAGAATTGACTCTAGAGTGCATATTTTGTGTCCATGAAAAAACTATTACAGAAAATATTACAATATTAAAGAACTGTTCTTGTTAATTTGATGAAAACATTTTAAATATCCAGTGCACTCGCATCAGAATAACTTATAGCTTTGTTGTTAGAATAATCGATTAATCGAAAAAAATAATTGTTAGATTAATCGATTAGAAAATAATCGTTTGGTACAGCACTACTATAAAGCAAATACATTTTTAGAAATATTTAAAACATTTTTGTCCTATTTAACTTCATTAATCTGTAGTATTGGAGAATTGTTGCTTTTAATCAAATGTTTATGTTACAGTCACAAACTGTGTGTGTTAATGTGACTTACAGATGGATCCAACCCCTACACTCTGAAACTGTGTTTTTCCACTTCGTCTCATCTATAAAAAGATGCTGAGGACAAACAGAGGCAGCTGATGACTGGCGCTAAACTGAAGAGAAGACGAGGACATGTGAGAGACACGGAGGACAGCACGGCAGGGACAAACGTGGAGATTATAAAAGACAGGGAGAACGATCCAAACCGGCCCTTTACTGGAGATAAAGGAGATAGAGGACCAGTCACCCAGTCAGAACTGAAAACACTGACTGACTCTTAACTGAAACGTTGTTGTTGATATTTTTAATCTGTTATTTAGGATATTTGTTCCAGAGTCTTCAAAACCTTTCTGACTGATTTCAAGAGAAGGACTCGCTGTTAGAAAACTGGAATCTTCCTGAACGAAGCTCACACATCTCAAACAGATTCACATAGTCAATGGTTACTGCAGTAATATTTAACTTTTTAAGGAAATAAGATAAAAATCTTTGTTTTTCTTTCAGTCATCATTGAAAGAAGTGAAGTAAATGGGGGTATGATTTGAACAAGTTCCTATTTAGCGCTTATTTCCCTTTTAAGATAACGGTCATCTTTTTCAGCCAAGACCTTGGGCGGAAATCTCAAGTGAGTCAGGACCCCCTTAACTTTGGAAAAATAAGCAATACAAACAAAAGAAAGCATAGCCACCAATTATACAGGCAAATCAACGCATGTTATGCTTATTGGTAACTCTAAATTATCTGTAGGTGAAAGTGTGAATGGTTGTCTGTCTTGTTTGTCTGACTCTATGATGAACTTGCGACCTGTCCAGGTTGTCTCTCGCACAGTGGCTGCTGGATATGAGCACCAGCGACCTCACCCTCCCTGACCCATTATGGAAGAAGCAGGGGAAGATAATAGATGGATAAATGGATGCATTAAAAAATGATGCTCCCTCCTTATCAGCCTGACAATAGTTTGGTATATTACCTGTCTGGAGAGAGCCTGGAAGGGGAATGGGCGGAGCTAACGTGAATATTTGGCTTCCAGTGAAGCCACGTTGCACAGAAACCTCTTCAGTGTGAGTGTTCCTGATTTTCACTTGGTAGACTGAGGTTTGATCCCCACTGAGGGATTTACATGTTTATTGTTATTCTATTCAAACCAAGATAGTTTAGCTTTTTGTAGGTGTCAGTAATATTTCTGTGATGTTTAAATACATCTGAGATTAGTAGGAACAATAGACCTTGTTTGATCATTAATGGTTGTACTTATTTAGAGCTTTAAATTCATGGAAAGCTGCTAAAGATCAGTGACAACTGATCAGTGACCACAAACAAGTACTAAACCAAGACAAATTAAATTTTCAACGTGGTTCTGAACAATTTTACTGAAGAAATCTACACCCGTTTTTGATGTACATTAACAATTTCTCACCATTATTTGCTCTGCAGACTGAAAAAAAATTGTAAATTCTTTAATGGGACTTCAGCTTTTTTGTTTACATGTTTTTTTATGGCAACATGTGGGTGTGGATAAATTTTTCCTTTTGCACTTTATTATTGTGTATAGATGCATGTCAGATGTTTAACAACCTGTTCTTATAGTTTATTTGGCTTTATATTTTTGTGAAAAGAAGAATAGCATATGTTGTAAGTCAATTGACTGCGTGACCAGGAAGCTAATAAACAAGCGCCATCAGAGATCAAAACTGAAGCGAGATGGATGAAGACGGTTGGCGCTTTCATTAGTTTCTGCAACTTGTCTACTTGGTAAACACGGTGATGAATATTTTCTTTTTATTTTGACTCCCCCAAAACTTTGCTCTTAAAAATAACTATGAGATGGAATTTCTGCCCCTGGAAAAAAACACCATCTTACTTTAAAGGGGTACTCCWGCAATTTAAAGTGAGGTTCTGTGGAAAACGAAAGAATTGTGTGTAAAAAAGACTGACAAAGTTGTAAAAGTTTATAAAATAGATTTACCTTGAACTGCTGGGAATGTTTAAGATTGATGCAGTTGCACTAAGTCAGCAATCCACTTTGGCTGCTCTCAGACTAGCCAATAGCTCATCGGTCCTGTCAGAAGCTAAATTTAAACTGAAGCATTCAATAAGCTATCTATAACAGGTAAGATATTAATTGTTCATAACTTTTATACAGACCACCATAATGGCTAAAAAAATCACTTTAGGCATTACTCTCAAAACCAAATATTAGTTGTTTTGCCATGACAGTTCTCTAGAGAGTTTTATATTTACAGACATAAATTTAGAGAATTTTGGTTTAAATTCTTTCATTTATTTTGCTCAACTTCGTGACGGATTCTAGGAAGAATAGTGTTTTCTGCATTGCTCATTATGTAAGGTTAAATTAAAGTCTTATGAAGCTGTTGGTAAGAATTTAGACTTTTAGACATTTTTGAGTAAGTTATATTTAATTTCTAGTTTTATTGTAGATGATTGTTCTCAGGGGTTTCCCTCCCTCCCTGCTCAGTTGGTACAACTTAGGCCGATGCTGTATTCAAGGACATCCAGTGAAAACATTAATGAAAATCAAATTATTGCAAGCTTATTTACAAAGTTGTTGATTTTATTTCATGTTTGTTTTCTGTACTACAGCTAAACGTGTTCACACCATCACACACTTGTCCACTCAGTCCATGAAGGTTGGACTTTGCTGGAGCTGCTTATTGTCAAAGATTCTGCTCATAACCAAGGCACAAACGAGGTCTAATAAGATAATCCTCAGTTTTGTTTTTCCTGCTATTTTGTCCTGTGGGCATCATCTCCAAATTTTACTGGAGCAGTTCACAGCTGAGTGTGAAATGGCTGGGATTAAGGATCAGCACCTCCAAATCTGAGGTCAGTTAGTCCTCGTTTGGAAAAAAGTGGACTGCTTTCCCAAGTTCAGGCATTAGGTTCTGCCTTAAGTGGAGTACTTAAGTATTTCTGGGTTTGGTTCATGGGTGAGGGAAGAATGAAGTGTGAAATGGACAGATGACATCAGAGTATTTTGTACTTTGTGCTGGTCTGTTGCAGTGAAGATGGAGCTGAGCTGCAAGAAAAGCTTTTCCGTTTWYTGGTCGGTCTACGTTCCTACCCTCATCTTTGATCACAAACTTTGAGTGGTGACCGAAAGATCAAGATCATAGATATGGGTGATCAAAATGAGTTTTCTCTTCAGAGATATTGTGAGAACAGGTGGAGACTTAGAGGAGAGCTGCTGCTCCTCCACATCGAGAGGAGCCAATTCAGGTGATTCTGGTAACAATGCCCCTGGACGCCTCACTAGGGAGGTTTTCTGACCATTTCCAACTGGGAGGAGATCTYGGGGAAGAATTAAATTAATTTACATTTTTACAGTTACTAATGCACGTGATCAAAGACAGTAATTTGCAATGTGGTCCTAAAAGTTTCATGGCTTCTTCTGGTTCTTTTAAGTCTAAAGCAGAGGTGCCCAAAGTGGGGCCCGTGGGCCAAATTTGGCCCGCCAAGCCATTTGATTTGGCCCACTAGCAGTTATCCTGGTTACTAGATTGTAATCTCCTGTTTTATGTAGAAATACTATTTGCACTCAGTCTTTTCAAACATTGGTCCAAMTATAGGTACAAGGAGCTCTAGTCAGATAAACTTAACTCATGGTGCTCACTTTTTCTTTGAACTATATTAAGATWAAACTTAAAATACAAGTAACTTCAAGAGACATTTATATCAGATTTAAGTTCATTTCTAGATTTGCACACCTTATAAGACCCCATATACTCAAATTTTAAATTATGAAAAGTCCCATGAACCTTTGCTGCCCGAGCAAACGTTGAATTTTCTCCATGTCCATGGGTTAGAAAAAAAATGTGGGCAACTGCACTGGCTGCAGCTTAATCATAAAAATACAATTCCTTGAAATATTTGCATTTCGTGTATTATATTACTGCATTTGGCCCACCCCCCTCAGATTGATTTTAATTTTGGCCCTTGCAGAGAAAATGTTTGGGCACCCCTGGTTTAAAGAGTATCTGTTTCAGCTGCTCTGCTGTCATTCGGACATCCGGCAATCTGGCAATATTGCACGTTATCATTTCACCAGTGGTGGGCACTAGTTCCCTAACCCTGGTCCTCAAGGATCCCTATTCAGCATGTTTTTCTTGTTTCCCTGCTATTCAGCAGGTCTGCATAAGATTATTAATCACTCATTCATTCAAACCAGGTGTGTCAGATCAGGGAAACATCTAAAACAAGCAGGACAGGAGTCCTTGAGGACCAGGGTTGGGGAACTACTGCTTTAATACGTTATCAGATTTATTATTTACAAATAAATGGCAAAGAATCAATGGCTTCCAGAGGCAATACTAAAAAACAAACAAACAAACAAACATAAAACCAAGTCAATATGATATTTTGAAAATGTCTCATCAAGCTCAGAGAAGCTCTTGAGGTGTTTGTCAACATTTAAAGCACTAAAGTGCTAATTGTGGAACTAAATTTCTTGTTTGCGCATTAGGCTTTTCACTTTTAAAATATAATGTATGAATAACACTAACTTATAAACATCTTTGTGAAACAAAGTCAAACAAGAGGTAGCAATGAACCAGTTGGAGCATACGTGCATATTGGTAATAGAAAAATATCAGTTTAGAAATCAACACAGAGTTTTAGACAAAGTGTGAAGGATTGAAAAGAATTATTTCCGCACCTCAGACTATTTTCAAAAATATTTTGTGTTATTTGATTTTTACCTAATGAAACAAATATAGCAGGGTTTGGGAGCATTTATATAT